GGTCGCCACGTGCCTAGACCACGTGGTGCAAGCCACCTGCCACGTGGCAGACTGCTTATGTAAGCAGATGTGGTACAAACCAGCGACCAGAAGTGGCCGTCCAACAAAAAAAAAAATCTGGACGGATGGCCGAGTGGTCTAAGGCGAGTGGCTCAAGTCCACTTCTCGAAAGAGGCGCGGGTTCGAACCCCGTTCCGTTCACTTCAAGATCACGTTTTTCGGACCTTTCTAAGTTACGATTCCCTTTTTAAGGGTCTACAGGTTTCAGCACGTACTCGTACGTGTGGATGCGAATAATTTCCGTTCGCAGATGCCGCCTGAACATGGTGTTTGTGCCTTATATCTTTCTCATAGGTGCTTAGTGCGATCAGTCGTTTCCCGGTCTCTTGGTCGGTCGATTCTGTACTCCTCTCCGGGCTCCGCGTGAAATTTCCGGTATGTGCTTCAGGGAGGCATCAAGCCATTTCCGCATCTCATTTAGGCCCGTGTTTCTATATGGCGCCACAAGGAAAAGGGGGCCGTCGAATTAAGCGCCCCCCTTTCCATGTGGTGCGAGCACAGCCGGGAATCTTCCAGAAATCGAGCTCGAGCCAGGGTCAGCAAAGGCGTCGCGCGCCTGCGGGATGAGTCGGGGGGCCGAACCTTTGCATTTCCAGGGTCAAACGCCTGCGAGCACTGGTCGCGTCACGATGGAACACCGCCGTCGGTGTTCCATCCTTCCGCGTCGACGGCCCTGGCTCGGCGTCTATTTTTATGCCGTGCGGACCTCATTGTCGCTCTCCACGGCCTGGAGGTCAGACGGAGGCGTTTCAGCGATCTGCGCGTGGGCTCGAGCATCGGGCATATAGCGCGAGCAGGACGGGGCGGCCTGAGGGGACACGGTGGTAGCCGCCGTCGTCATGGGGGAGAGATGGCGAGGTGAGTGGACAGCCGGTGAGTGGCGAACCATCGGTCTGCCTGTCATCAGTGACGGTCTCGCCTTCCGACCGCTCCCTCGGCTTCATCGTCGACTTCGGCGTCCTCAGCATCCCAAGCATCATCGGCGTCATCGGCATCCTCGATATCCTTGAGAGCTTTAGACCGCCGAGTCCCTTCCGCGCGCTGGCCCGGCCGCCCGGCATCACGCAGCTCGCGACCCCGAGATCGAGCCCGAACCCGGCCGAGCTCCCAAGCGCCACGTGGGCGAGGCCATGGTATAATCTTGGCGTGCCGACCCCGAGGCCGCCGTCCGGATTCTTCGCGGAACTTCTCGCTTCCGCATCGACGTTCATGGATCGACTGACGCCGTCCCCCGTCCAGGTCGCCCAGACGCCGTCGCCGGCCTCGACTCTGTCGCCATGGCCCACCGGGCCTGCTTTGGTTTTCACGGCGCAGCACCGTCAGCGGCGCCCCAGCCATGGCCATGGCCATGGCCGGCGCGGCCATGCACCCCTAGAAAGCACGTCGGCCACGGACGTAGCGTCGAAGTCGACGACATGGAAAGCGCGCATGCGCCGTCACATCGCGGCCTCGGCGTCGGAACGAGCTGCGCCGCCCTCACCGTCGCCGATGCCGTCGCCCCCCTCGTCGCCCGCGCTCGCCCACGCGCTGCTGGATGCGCTGCGGGCGTCTGTCACCCGCTGGACGGACGCGGCGCTGCGGCTGAGCCTCGCGCGGCAGGTGCTGATCGCGCCGGATACGGCCGAGCATCTCAGCCAGCGCGCGCTGGCGTGGCTCAGCCGCCAGCCCCTGCTGGGCGAGGGCGCCTTCTGCCGGGTGTACCGCGTGGTCCCGCCGGTATCCTCGTCGTCGTCGTCGTCGTCGTCGACGTCGGCGTCGGCGTCGTCGTTGGCGCCACCGTCGACGGCCTACGCCGTCAAGCTCATCAAAGCGGCGCGCCGCCATGACCCGAGCGCCACCCGCACGCTCGAGACCGAGTGGCAGACGGCGCAGCGGCTGCGCCGGTTGCTGGCGGACGACGCCGAGGCCCGCGGGCGGCTGGCGCTGCCGACGGCGCCGGTGCACGTGGGCAACCCGCCGCGGCTCGTCGGGCTCAAGCTGCCGCTCGCGACGCACGGCACGGCGCGCGACTTTGCGGCCACCCACCTCCGCGCCGCGCCGCGGCCGGCCGCGGCACGCATCCTGCGCCACCTTCTCGCCGACACCGCGCGCGCCCTCGCAACGCTGCACGCGCTCGACGTCGTCCACGGCGACATCGCCGACCGCAACGTGCTCGTCACGTGGCGCGACGGGCGGCTGCGCGCCGTCCTCGCCGACTGGGGCCTCGCCGTCGGCGGCCTCGACGCCGCCGCGGCCCGCGCCCTGAGCGGCACGCCGCCCTTCATGGATCCCACGCTCGTCGGGGTCCGCTTCACCCGTGCGGGGCCCGGCGGCCCCGCCGCCGCTCCCGTGACGGCGACGGCCACCACGGCCGCGGCGACCGCATCGGAGACGGCGACGGCAACGGCGACGGCGACCGCCACGCCGCACGCCCGCACGCCTCGCGACGGCACCACCGGGGGCATCCGCGCGCAGCTCGCCGTCGGCGAGGCCCATCTGCTGACGCCGCGCAACGTCGTCCAGAACGCCATCTATGGTCTCGCCATCGTATGGGACCGGCTGATTCGGTCGGCGTCGCCGGACCCGGATCGGGGCCTCGACGGCGACGGCGATCCTGGCCGTGCTCCCCGGGGAGGCCGCAGCCCGCCAGCGCGCGTGGGCCGGCCTGGCGGAGCCGGCGGGGCCAGCGGTCCCGGAAAGAGGGCGTCGATGGCTCCGCCGCGTCACGAGCCACGCGGCCCGAGCAACCATGTGCTGACGCGGTCGGCGCTCGCGGCGGCCCGCGCGCGCCGGGCGCAGGTCCTCGCCGCCGGCCAGCCGTGGCCCGCCGGCGGGCTCGGCCTGATCGATACCCCCGCGGCCCTCGCGCTCGGGATCCCGCGCCGCTTCGTCCGCCGCATCGAGGCCATGCTGCTCGGCGAGACCGACCTGGACGACGTGCTCGCCGACCCTTACCTGGCCGACAGCGACCAGGCGCCGCTCGATCCGGCGCCGGGGCTCTTGCCGACAGCGACGGCGGCGGACCTGCCTGGGGCATCCGCCGCGTTGCGGTGGCCGACGCCCCAGACGCCGAATCCGGCGCGCTCCCGCATGACGCTCGCGGATCCGCTGGTGACACGTCGCGCAGGCCACGTGCGTGGCTCGGACCACGAGATCGACGAGTGCGAAGACGAGGGAGCATCGTCGTCGTCAACCGCGAGCGGCACGCCGGCGGGCACCACCCCCCCGCTGGTGGCAGCGACGGCGATGCCGGCCGCGCCATACCTCGTCTTGACGGCGCTGGAGCATCTCAAGCTCGAGCGTCATGCGGCGCGACAAGCGGTGGCGGCCGCGGAGGCCGCGGTGGAGGGTCCCTCCGAAGCCGCCGCCGCCGCCGCGAGCGAACCCCAGGCGGGCGCGTGGCGCCATCTGCCCTGGATCACTCGCGGCGCATCGGTCTACGTCCTGTGCGATGTCCGACTCCGCCCGTCGACGGTGGCGGCCGCACGACTCCCCGATACGGCGAAGTTATATACGGCGCTCCCGCGCACGACCTCGGACGAGACGTTGGTGGCTTACGAAAGCAGCAGCGACGCTGAGGCCGCCGACGAGAGTGATGCTACCGCCGTCGCCGATGACGGCGATGATAACGATGACGGCGATGACGGCGGCTTCGATGCTAGCGGCTCGTGCGCCGTGAGCGCGCTGGCGCCTCTCCGTCCATCGTGCCGCGTGTTCGCCGCGTCGGCCGGGACCGCGGCGCCGTTCGTGTGCGTCGGGCGCGTCCACCATGTCGCGTCGGCGGCCGCGCCGCTCGTGCCGCTCGTCGACTACCTCGCGGGGCCGATGCACGCCCTGCACGCTGCCGCGGCCCGCGCCGACGCGCCGCCCGCCGTCCAGGCGCAGTGGCAGGCCCGGGTCGCCGCCCTGTGTGCCGCGCTGCTGGAGCAGGACGTCGGCATCACGGCGGCCGCCGACTACGCGGTCGGCTCGGCCGCGGACCCCGAGGGCCGTGCGCTCGTCGTCGTGCGGGTCCGTCCGACCGCGGCCGCGCGGCCGCCGCCGGGAGGGCCCCAGGCCGACCCGACGCTCGCTGCCACGGCGCAGCTGCTGGCGATGGTCGTTGACGGCGGCGCGCCCATGGGTTCCCCGGCATCGCCGTCGCCGCCGCCATCGCCGTCGCGGTCGTTGCCGCGGTCGTTATCGCGGCCGTTATCGCGGTCGCGGTCGCGGTCGTCGTCACGGCAAGCGGCGCCGCTCGTGCGCAATGCGGCCAACGTACCGGACGACTGGGTGCTGCTGCTGATGATGGGCCTCCAAGGGCAAGCGACCCGTCGCGCGCTGCGGCTTCATGCCTATCTGGCGCCGTACCGCCCGCGGCCCGCAGAGACGTCGGCGTCGGCGTCGACGTCGCTGCGAGCGCCGTTGCCTTCTCTCGCTCGATCCCTGGTGAAATGAGGCCACCGCCCACTTTAATTGAAGCGCCCGTGACGGTCAGAATGAGGCCATGGGTGCGCCGTGCATCGTCGCTGCCGCGCGGGGCATTGTCAGACCCGCGGCGCCGCCGCGCGCGTGGGCGGCGAGCGCGCCGTTGGTGGCCCAGGGGCCATGAAACGGTGCGAAAAGCAGGGACGGCTGCGCTTCGAAGGCGGCGCGGGGCGGCGGCGGCCTTCGCGCGACGCCGCGGCGCGCCGACACAGGCGCCATGCATGGATGGCCGGCCGAGCAGGCGGGCGGGGACCGGCATGCGGACGGCGGCGACGGCGGCGGCGACGGCGAGCGCCTTCCTTCCAGCGGCGCGCTGCAAGGAAGGCGTCCGGGCGACGAGATCGGGCCGGCGGCGATGACGATTTTTTCGACGGGATATCCAGGTAGCCCGGCGAGACAACGCCACACGCATCCCCGGCGTCCCGCGGTGCCGGCCGGGGGGGTCTTCTGCTCAGGAAGCATGCGGATGAGTACCGGATGCGCATGTCGACCACCTGCTGCTGCCTGGACGGCCCGTCTTGGGATGTCGCCTTCGGGGGCCTTGGGGGGATGTCCCTTCCATCCGCATGGGCCCTTATAAAAGGAAAAGGCGATGCTGTATTGCGAGCCCGTGGCGTCGAGCGCCGCCGTGCCTCTCGTGGAGGCGTGTTCGGCCCAGCGCATTCTCCAAAGCCGACCGGAGACCGCTGAGTTGG